GGATCAGGGACACACCGATCATTGTGGCTGGTCGCCCATCGACCTTGCCTTCCGGGGCTCGCATGAGGTTGCGGCGGTTGGCATGCTGAATGCTTGATAAGTGCATAGTAGACTTCGGGGGTGTCTGTTATGGTGATCGGGAGGTTCTTAGCAATTTGATCTTTCCCTCCTGGCCAGCTACCGGCTCGGCTCCCTTATCTGGTCTCCTGCCCAGGCGGCTAATTTGGGGTATCTATCACCAGTCCCTCACTTTTTTAGGTTTTAGGTAAGTCGTTAACCTGAAGAAGTAAATAACAGAAAGCACAAGTTCCCCGAAAATGTCCTGGCCGCCTGGCTTCTCAGTCTGTTCGGATTTTGTTAAACGCTCGGGCGAGTCTCAGGCTGGTCCCGCGGTACAGTCGCTATAAGAGCAATGATGGCTATTCCACTGACTCCGCCGGAACATGCCTTTTCACATCCGCCATCTCGAGTGTCACGTCAACGATCACGTCTTTCCGGCCAGAGACATGTGTCACGCTCTCACCACCTCTCCGTCCTTATAAATACCCCCGATCTTTCTTGCGCTCCTCACTCTCACGCCTTCTTTCCTCTGGGTTCGTCCGTTGGCAGCCGGTATCCCTCGCTCTATTCGCATTAGGGTGCTGTCCTCACCGGCGAGCTGACGACCCGCGCGCCTCCAATGATCCTCATAAGCTTTCGAGTCCATCAGTGCGCGAGGCTGGCTGCCTACGAGTCCCATCCTTTCGGCCGTTGTGGTGCGACCATCGCCGCACCAAGATGCGGCCTCATATGCTAGTGTAGAGTCTGAGGGGCCCTCCTATAATGGAGCAAACGCTCGTCCGCAAGGGGGTGCGCCTCCTTTTGTAGAAGATCCACAGTCTCTCCACAACAACGGGGTAGGCCGGAATGTATATCGGACTCTGACAACACCTCTGCTGTTGTCCGTCAAGGAGAGGGTGGATGTCCACCCAGTTTTCGTCCGGTCGCGCAAGCTTGCAAAAAGATATGAACAAAATGTGCGTCATCGCTGCGTCTCTCATATTGAAGCCCGAGCTCATTGGGAAAGCATTTCCGTCAGGCTAGCCAGGAGGGTGAGCTTAGAATAGACTAGTTGTTCGACTCTCGTTTCCCAATTTTTTGAATGTATTTCTGCCCGCTGGGCTTTTGTTCTTTTCTGCTTTCGTTATCTTCCTGCCTATTTATTGTTTGTGCGCGCATTGCTCACCGTCCATCAACCTTGAACAATCATTCGAGAATTTGCTAAGTCCCTCAGCGGGTGAGGTCGGCTGCCTGCGAGCCCCCAAGGTATCTCTCAACTTCCAAGTTCTTCACTGGGCGAGGCTGGTTACCCACGAGCCCCTGAGGAACCTCCAAACTGCCGAGTCCCTCAGTGGGCGAGGCTAGCTGCCTACGAGCCCCCGAGGAACCTCCAAACTACCAAGTCCCTCAGCGGGCGTGGCTGGCTGCCTACGAGCCCCCGAGGAACCTTCCAAACCGGCCAAGTCCCTTAGTGGGCGAGGGTGGCTGCCTACGAGCCCCCGAGGAACCTCCAAACTGCCGAGTCCCTCAGTGGGCGAGGCAAGCTGCCTACGAGCCCCCGAGGGACCTCCAAACTGCCAAGTCCCTCAGTGGGCGTGGCTGGCTGCCTACGAGCCCTCGAGGAACTTTCCAAACCGGCCAAGTCCCTTATTGGGCGAGGATGGCTGCCTACGAGCCCCCGAGGAACCTCCCAATTGCTAAGTCTTTCAGTGGGCGAGGCTGGCTGCATACGAGCCCTCGAGGAACCTCCAAACTGCCGAGTCCCTCAGTGGGCAAGGCTGGCTACCTACGAGCCCCCGACGAACCTCCAAATTGCCAAGTCCTTCAGCGGGCGAGGCTGGCTGCATACGAGCCCCCGAGGAGCCTTCCAAACTGGCCAAGTCCCTTAGTAGGCGAGGCTAGCTGCCTAAGAGCCCCCGAGGAACCCTCAAAATGGCCAAGTCCCTCAGTGGGCGAGGCTGGCTGGCTGCAAGCCCCCAAGGAACCTTCAAAACTGCCAAGTCCCTCAGTGGGCGAGGCTTGCTGCCTGCAAGCCCCCGTGGAACATCTAAACCGGCCAAGTCCCTCAGTAGTCAGCCATCCTTGCAGAGAGGAGGTGATCTTCCTCGTGGCGTGGCCGCCTTCGCCTGAGCAGGCGGTATCATCCATCCTCGCAGAGAGGAGGTGATCTTCCTCGCGGCGTGGCCGCCTTCGCCTGAGCAGGCGGTATCAGCCATCCTCGCAGAGAGGAAGTGATCTTCCTCGCGGCGTGGCCGCCTTCGCCTGGGCAGGCGGTATCAGCCATCCTAGCAGTGAGGAGTTGATCTTCCTCGCAGCGTGGCCGCCTTCGCCTGAGCAGGTGGTATCAGCCATCCTCGCAGAGAGGAGGTGATCTTCCTCTCGGCGTGGCCGCCTTTGCCTGAGCAGGCGGTATCAGCCATCCTCGCATAGAGGATGTGATCTTCCTCGCGGATAGAGGATCGCCAAGGGTTCCGCTTCTGCCCACTTGGTGAAGTAATCCACGGCCGCTATACAAAAGCGCACTCGCCCGGGCGCCTGAGGGAGCGGCCCCAACAGATTGATGCCCCACTTGGCGAAGGGGATTGCGGTGGTGATCGGTGTATAGAAGGTTGCTGGTCGGGTGCTTTTTTTAGCGAAGGATTGGCTCATGATGCATCTCAACACTTCTTCAATGCAATCTTTCACCATGGTCAGCCAGTAATAGCCCTAAATGATAAGTTTCCTAGCTAACGTATTGGCCCCCTGATGGGCCGCGCAGATTCCTCGGCGAGCGGCAGCCATCACAGTCTTAGCCTCCTTGCGGGATACGCAACGCAGTAGGGGACCTCCGTAGGACTGCTTGTAGAGTAGGCCATCCACCAACTCATAGGAGGGAGCCCGCCTCCTGATGCGATCAGCGTCTTCCATCTTATCCGGCAATTCTGATTTCTGTTTATACCTGACCATGTCCGCAAACTAGGGCCAAGCAGAGGAGTCCTCCAACCTAGGCGGGGAAGCGGGTGCCCGGACGACTGTGCAAATCGAGAGTACCTCAATACTTGGTCGTTCTATGATCTCGGTGCGACAAGTCATCGATAGGTAGGGAGGCACACTTCCCGCAGCCAGCTTGGACAAGATATCTGCCTCCGTATTTTCCGCTTGTTGGATATGGATGATCTCATAGGCTTCCAATTTATCCAGAAGTCCCTCGGCCACGTCCTTATAGAGTATCAACCTTTCTTCTCTTGTCACACATTCATTCTTCAGCTGGTTAACCAGCAGGCGGGAGTCCGTCCTTATGCGCACCCGGACAGCATGAAGGGCGATGACTGATCACAACCCTCCTATGACTGCCTCATTATTTGAAATTTGGAAGTTGTACATTAGGCCATAGTACAGGCGGAATCCTTCGGGGGTGGTGATCATTACCCCGCCTCCACAATGTTTAGAGCCGGCCGCGCCGTCAGTGTGTATTTCCCACCATTCCGCCGCTTCTGGGCCTTGAACCAGTGAGCCCTCCATCGAGTAAGCGGAACACTCTACTATGAAGTCGGCGAGAGCCTGAGCTTTGATAGACGACCGCGAGACGTATTTGATGTCGTACTGGTTGAGCTCCATTGCCCATTTGAGCAATCGTCCGGAAGAGGCCGCGTTGCGTAGCATGCCGGCTAGGGGGAGGTCGGTCAACACCCGGACTGTATGAGCTTAGTCCAGAATAGTCCGTTTGGAGGGACAATCTCAGAAGATCCCCACACCCACATCACGCGATTCATTAGAGCTTGTGGAATGTTTTGACATGGAGGAGTATCCGATGAAATAGTAAGACTGAAACTATTTCCTTTTTCTGTTTCATGTGAGGCATTGCGATGGTTGGACTCGCAAGACGACAATCACTTTAGTTCGTGGGCTCAACTGCACAAAGAATTCATGAACGAATTCTTTCCATTGACGAAAACCATGAAAATTCACAAGCAGGCACAGGAGTTCAAGCAAGGCTCCTTGGAAAGCCTAGGTGAGGCTTAAAGACAGTTCAAGTCACTACGGAGAAAGTCCCCACCAGACTTATTACACCCATGGGACGTAATCAGTTCGTTTTATGGAGGTCTTACCAATGAAGAGAAGATGCTACTAGACTCATCCTCAAGCGAAGCATTTGTATCATCATCACTGGCAGACGCCGAGGCGTTGATATATAGAAAGAATCTCATCCAATACTTCATTTTGGTATAACAAAAGGGATGCAAGGTCGGGGGTGTATGAAGTGAAGGAGAGTGTAACAAATGAAGCAAAAGTCGAAGCAATGACACAAGAGATCAAGAGATTGCAAACGGTAGTTGAAAAGTTGGAAGCAAAGTCTCAATCGTGCATGGCTTTAGCGTTGTATTGCAATGTATGTGGAGGCCCACACGACACCAACACTTGCACATCTACGATTCAAATTGAAGAGGTAGAGGCGGCTAACTATCCGCCACCACAAAAACCAAATGGGTGGGGAAATGACAATGCAAATTGGAAACTAGGAAATGGTTGGCAAAATCAAGGATACAAGGACGACCTCAAGGAAAGAATGTCTATAGAACGGGAACGGAGAGAAGGGTTACCTTTGGCCTAAATTACAATCAAGGGCAACAAAGTACTTCTTACCGACCCCCAGGAAATCCACAAGGAGAGATGATGATGCATAGAAGTGAAGCCAAAGATGTAGAAGAAAGGTTATCTAAGGTCATTAATGATTTGAAGAGAGATCAAGGATTCCTAAGACAAGAAATCTCACAAGAGATTAGGCAAGAGATAGCCGCGGTGAAACAAGACTATGCTCTTTCGTTGAAGAACATTGAAACCCAAATGTCTCAAATGTTCCGGCTAATGTCCGAAAGACCATGGGGAACATTGCCAAATAACACCGAAAAAAATCCCAAAGAAAGAGTGAATGTCGTGTCCGTTACGTTGTGAAGCCAATTGAAGGAGAAAAGAAAGATGCAATGGAAATGGTTTGTGAGAAAGATGAAACCAACACCGTGAAGGTCAACATGCAAGAGATTACCACTTGTAATTTCTTAAGAAAGAAGGAAGGAAATGACACCTCTTGTGCCCTTAAAGAAAGTGAGAAGGAAATTCCACCATTGAAAGGTAAGGCTCAAACACCTCAAGTTACAAGAATTGGAAATTCGCAAGGCTATGATTATGATGAATGGGAATATGCTATCTTGAATACTCTTTATCGTGCATGTTTGGTTAACGAGGACTTTGATAGTGATGAGGAGGAGGATTTGCCTCAAATTGAGCTTGGTGCCGAGGCAACGGTTATCCTTCATAAAGGATGCCCAAGCAAGCAAGACGATCCCGGTGCTTTCCTAGTGAAATGTAGTATAGGGGATTGTGTTTTTAAGGATGCCTTAGCCGATTTGGGAGCCTCCGTCAACATCATGCCTTCCCTTATCTATGAGAAATTGATTTTTCCTTGTATAGTTTCCACACCACTTGTTGTTCGCTTAGCCGACGGGACTACACGTTATCCCCGAGGTGTGGTCACAAACGTGCTTGTCAAAGTTGGAAGAAATCTTGTACCGGTTGATTTCATGGTACTAGATGTAGGAAAGGACTTGGAGGCGCCATTGATCCTAGGACGCCCATTCTAAGCTACTTGCCGTGCCCTAATCGACGTGGGGACGGGCAAGCTTATCTTTAGATAGGGGGAGTTATTTGGAATATGTTATTGGTTGGTTGGATTTTGATTTTGGATGGATTTCTGATTGCTACTTTTGGGTGATTTTCTGATTGCTGCTTTGGTATGTTATCTTCTCTACAATCTTTTTGGTCATCTTTGCTATCTACTAGTATATTATTTGGAAATTTTATGTATGATTATGCTTTTATTTAGCAAATCTTATCTTGCTTATGGATATTTTGGACTTTCGCTTATTGTCTCAATATTTGGTCCTTCTCTATTGGGTCATATTATCTCTACAGTATGGTTATGGGACATACGGATGGAGAATAGTCTAATTTGGCTTGGTAATGTTTTGTTTCTTAGGTTTTTTTGTCAAAGCATGTATACTGAGGGTTTTTTTCCTTTAATAAAATCAATTGACTTATCTATTTTTGCCCAAAGTAAAAATGGTTTAGTTTTTTGCCAAAGGGGGAGATTGTTAGTGTACAAAATTGATACACATTGTTAGCTAGTGTACAAATTGATACACATTAATCCTATAATTGGTTGGCTATTTATGTGACAATTAAATTTGGTTTTGTTCAAAATAAAGCCTTGGACTGTCTCCTATCTTATGGAATTGCTTCTACGGTTTTGTAGGAATGAACGAAATCAGTGTTCATAGATTTGGATGGGAAGTACGCATGTCAGATGGGTTAAAAGCTATTTCTATGAAATTATTTGTGATGGTGATTTAACCTATGGTGTTTGTATAATTTATGTGGGGGTGGATGGCTAATATTTTGGAGAAGGTGGTTGAAGGCTAAAGCTATAAAAGGAAACACTTTCCTTTTTGGAAATTGCGAACTCCAAGGCTATTTTAAGACATATAATTTCCAAATACTTGCAAGTACTATATCAAGGTTCTGTGCTATTTTGAACGTACGAATTCTCCTGGCACAGTCAGTCTGGACCTGGTTCAACAATTTCAACTGGTGAAGTCAAAGACGGCATACACGCTCTAATTCTGTAAAAGATGTTTTAAAGGTGGTAGTAGGTTGTAGTGGCTTTTAGCCGTATGTACTAACCCCCTGTAAACCTTGGTGAACATCTAGTGGATTGGGCAGACGTGGGTTGCCCCGCAAACGTAGGAGAAGTGCTCCGAACTGCGTGATCAATTCCTATGTATTTGGTTTTAATTCTTTTTTTTTTTTTTTTTTTTTTTTTTTTTTTTTTTTTTTTTTACTTCCGTCAAATGGACTAATTAATTGGTATGATAAACTTCTAAATTAAAATCAAGTAGAAACTTAAGTTATTGCTTACATTCAGGATTCACGGTACAATTTCACATCTTAATTGATTCGCTCCTTTCAAACTTTTCATTAATTAAACTATCAATTATTTCTTTTCTTTTATATGCATCCAAGTATTCTGCATGTGTGCAAATTAAATGCTCACACAAGTATACAACCCGCAGTGGGCGTCACACAAGGTCATCACACTCAGTGTCTTCTAGTTTCGGATTTTCGATCCCCTAAGATATTTTCCCTTCCAAGCCCATAAGTTTTATAAGTTGGGGTTGTAATTTTTAGTCCCACATGGTTTCAGCATACAACAGCTTCTCCACCATCACACAATGGTGTAGGAATAGTTGTTGGATTTTATGTAATTGGCGTTGTAATTTTTAGTGTAGTCTACTCTTATATTGCTTCATCAATCCTATCGTGTATTCAATTAGTATTTCGTGTACAATCTAAAAAGGTATAGTATCTCATTAATTAGATGGGGTATTGTGTCTCATGACAAAACTTGAAATTGGTACCAGTTTTTTGCATTATAGACTAGAATATTATTTTGTACTTTATATTGTATTCATTTGACCGTTGAAATTGATGCGTGGGTAGAAAAACAACTAATTTAATTCACCCAAATAAAAACATGAGTGAATTAAAATTTCAAAGTAAGAACTATTCTTCATCATATCGTTACCTATACGCTCTCATATCCATTACTTTCTCCTAGATCCTACGTTCATACCCAAAAATGTAATTCTTTATCTATCTATTTAAACTCCACAATCCCATGCAAGTAAAATCACCCCAGGCCAGGCCAGGCCATTATATTTCTCCACATATATATTTCCTATCTGGTCTCTGCGGGCCAATCAATATAATCTGCCTAATTAACAACATGGCCAAAACTGCCGCCCTTCCCTCTATCCTCCTCATCCTCTCCGTGGCATTCACCGTCGCCGCTCATCATCATTCACCTGACAAAACCCAACTTGTCAAGGCATGCTCTGAAGCCCTCGGCCCACGCCCAAGTGCCCGCTCCTTTGTCACATTCTGCGCTCGCGACTTCCTTGCTCACAAAGCCAGCCTACTCGCCCGCTGCGACAAGCGGGAAGCCGCGGCCATCGTTGTAAATGAAGCCCGCAAGAATGCCAAAGTCGTTGAGGATTTCAAGAGCAAAATAGATTCTGATAAATCTCTGGACAAGAAAGAGCTCAAAGATTTGAAGAGCTGTTGGGAATCAACCAACGACATGGTTAAAACACTTGGTAAAGTTTATTTCGACATTGCTTCCAAAAAGCTCTCGGTTGATGTGGTGGAGGAAAATATGCTCAACAAAATTGCGGGGGCAGAGGAACAATGCAAGTTCGCGGCCGCGGAGAGAAAAAGCGGTCTTTGGGCAGACTTCTCTGCAAAGGCGGATGCATCTTTTAAGTCCCAAGTAGTGGCAATGGCATTTATGGAGAGGTATCGTTCAAATATAAAAGTAATTATTAATAATTAATAATTAATGGGGGATTATTTGAATTGAATTTGCATTGTGGCAGATCGAAGAGTAATTACTAATTATAACGGGAAGTGATGAGGGGGAAATCATTTTCTAAATGTATGTTGATTATATTATCACCATGCATGTTTAGTACTGTAATTACTCTTTAATTATGTATTGTACGTGGAGATATATAAATGGATTACATTTTTACTCATCATCAGGTCATCGTTGTTTCTCTACTTTCTTAATTTATTTTCATCGATTAGCATATATTATAATAATAATAATGTTAATATTGAAGGAGGAGTGATACCAATGAGGGCTTGAAATATCTCATTCAGTGTCATATCACCTAAAAGAGAATTGAATGAGATGTCTTCAAAAAGAAGAAAAAAGACTATAAAATTTTTTTATAAGATAACAAACTCAATTTTCGTGAATTACAATTTCAAAATGCTAATATTCATTATTTAAAAGGCAACAAATTTAATAAATAAATTATAATTTATAATAACAATTAATAAATTAAATGAATTATGAATTAATGTAATTGGAGGAGATAATAGCAAGACAACAAAAGAGGGATGAACACTCCTTTGACAAGGAACAAAGAAAAAAAAATGTATTATGAATAAATGTTTATAGAAATGTGTTATGAATAAATGTTTATAGATTTTGGTGATGTAGAGTAGAAATGTATAATCCTTGTAGACTCCTCAAATTTTCTTCTAAATTCTTTTGAGTTTATAAGATATTCGGAAGATGTTTCACCGGAAGTTGTTCAAGACTTGTCAGAAGGAAAGGAGTCGAAAGGAATGGATTCAAAAGGAATTGAAGTTATCGGGAGAAGATCGGCCCGTTCTAGTCAATTCAAGGCTTCCATAAAGAACCTTTTAGGACATTTTGTGTTTTCACCATTCTCTCTAAGATGAAAAGGAAGATGATTAGGTTTGGAAGGAGTTCATAGACACTGCTGGAAATCTTTGATTTATCGACTACCTAAAAAATGGTAGAAAAAGTGACATTTTTTTTAATTTTTCCTTGAAGGACTATGGTGGGGAAATAGGTCGGAATTTCCGACCACCTTTACTTAGTTGTTGGAAATGCCAACCACAAAGTAAAGGTGGTCGAAAAAAAATTTAGTTTAAATTTTTTTAACTGAGTTGGGAATTTTCGTCAATCTTTCTAGTAGCCGATTTTTCCAACCACTTTACAAAACTAGATGTTATATCTGACCACCTTGTCCGTAGTCGGAAATAGCGACGAAGGTTTTTTCGGATACCAAAAGTGGTCGAAACAAGGGCTTCCGACTTGATTTAAGATCACTTTTTGGTGATCAGAAATTCTCAGATTTCTACCAGTACGAGGAAGGTTGAAAAGAATTATTAGGAACATTACACAACTTGTTTGATACCTACATATCTACACTAAAAATTGATGATGAGTAAAGGTTTCTTTAAAACCAAAAGTGTGCTTATAATACATTGAAAGGAGGGAACGATCACTACCTTATGGTTCTCAAGCTACTTAAGGATTTGGCAGTGGACACTACAAGAAAAATGCAGAAAGGCAACACTTCAAAGACAACAGTTTTTGACAAAAGTGTTGTCTTTTGTGTAAAAGACAACAATTTTTCCAATATCGTTGTCTTTGACACAACATTTTTGTCAAAGACGGTAGTTTTTACTGAACCGAAAACCCAGATAGATAACTCTTCAAAACAAAAGTGTTGTCTTTGACGCAACACTTTTGTCAAAGACGACGGTTTTTACTGAACTGTTGTCTTTAGTGTGTTGTCTACAATGGTTTGTAATATGGATTCTGCTAACAAAATGGAAACTGAGATGAGTTTTAATTTGTGATTTCAAATTTGGGAGCTACTGCATTTCAGAATTTTAGGATTTGTGGCAAATTCGGATTTTTAGGATTTGTGCTTTTGGACGACTACAACTATCTGAGTCATAGTAGGTGTGACACCCCAAAAATCCACACTCTAAACCATGAATTAATTGAGTAATTAATTCTATTTCTTTTGAGGAATTGATTCCTAAAATCCTGATTTTTGATACTCAAGGACTAGTATTTGACTAGTCAATTTTTAAGTGGTGTTGTACCTTGTGCTTTGAGAGGAGTTCCCTTGTTCCTTACACTTTCTAAGAGTTAGTAAGGGTATCCTTGTCTTTTCACCAAGAGCTAGTTTTGTAA